CCTCTGCAGGTGACGGTGGCGGGACCCCGGCACAGCCAAGGGGCAAAGCCGCTTTGGGGCTCTCCAGGGCCAGGGCTGTGCCCACCCAAACCTGGGAGCAGCCTCTTCGAGCTGTTGCCTGCTACATTTGTCCCACCTCGTGTCCTCTCGTAGGTCTCCGGCTTAGCCGGGGATTCAGCCCTTCGTCCAGTCCCTGGGGTGAACCCTACTTGGAGAAGGGTCTCGCTGGGCTGGGGGCTGTCCGTGCTGAGCAAGGAGGGGGCTGCATCCTGCCCAGGCCTGGGTAGCACCAGCGCCTCCGTCTTCCCAGCCTGCCCTCCACTTTGCCACCGCCCCTGATCCCTCCTGGGGCCACCACGGCTCTGCCACCATGGGACATCCTGTCCAGGGCATCAGTCACAAGCCCGTGAAGGCTTTTTCTCCCCAGAGTTGTGTCACCTCCCTGTGACACTTGCATCCCTTTGGCAAATGGGGTGGCAGGGGTTCCCCGTGCTTTTCATCCACAATTAATCTAGAAAAAGTGCTGGAAAGGGAGGAAAGTGTCCTGGGGAACTTGCTGGGGGGGAGGGATGAGCGGCAGCGCTGTGGTGGCATTTGCAGTCCAATTGCACCACCTAGAGGGAAGCAGGACTGGGACAGGGGACAGGCGAGGGACCTCTGCCAGCCCCGGTCCCCCTGAGCTGCTTCGTGGCACTGGTGGAGGTCCCTGTCCCACCCCGCAGCCCAACCAAGCACCCCTGGGAGGTGTTGACCCCCATGGTGGAAACCACAGAGGCTGCTGCTGCTCCAGCACGGAGACCAGGGCCACCAGGCTCCAAAGCACAGCAGGACTCTGCAGAAGGCCAAGCACCTCCACCTCCGCATGGAGAGACAGGGACACGGCCCCAAGCCGCTCTCACCCTCTTCTCCCCGGCCCCCGTCCTACCTTCCTCATGGCCTCCATCTGCGTGATGTCCCTCCGGCGGAGCCGCACCCAGCGCCGTCGCCGGTTGGTGTGGTACATCTTCTCGGCCGGCACCCAGGCCTTGGGCTTGCGGTCCGGCGGGATGGTGATGCCGTACTCCCAGCCTTGGAGAGAAGGGGACACCTGGGTGAAGGCGGGAGAAGAGCCCCCGACCTTGCCTCCCACCAGGGACCTCTCTTCACATATATCCAGACTGGAACAGCTTTAATAGCAAAGGTTTGTCCAGATACAACACACTTTCCCAGTTTGCTGGTCCACGCAGATAACGACCTACTCATGCTGCTACCCAATGGAGGTGTCCCCCTGGGGATGCCCAGGTGATGGATTCATGGTGTCCCACCAGCCCTTGGCTCAGAGTCACTGCCTGGGGACTCTCCTCTCTGTCCTTCCTTCCTCAGGCAACCCCAACCTTTGTGACCATCTCGGATGCCCTCTGGCCTGATGCTTTCCATTTCTCTTTCACCAGAAGCCAGGTAAGATCTTCGAGAAGAACAGCCTGGACTACCCCCAGCAGCAAGGAAAGCACTGCCTTTACAGCTGCCCACCCCGCAGCCCCAGCCTCAGCCAGAGCAAGGGGGAGAGGGTACCCCCAGGGCCTGATCCCCTTCTCCTGAAGCCAGCGGGGCAGCTCACACAGCCGTGAAGGGGATGTTTTCATCCCTAGTGCTGGATGGGCCTGTGGAAGGAAACACCACGATGGGCAGAGTAAAGAGGATGAAAATGGCATGGATGCCCAAAACTGCTTTCTGATACCTTTCTCATCCACGGCTCTGTTGAGATCGGTGTCCCACTCCACGTCTTCCCATTTCCAGCCCGGAGGACACTCAATCTCATCCTTATGCAAGACCTTCTCCCCGTTCTGTGGGATACAGGAGTGTTTTCAACCAAACAGTGCCCAGCAGATGCCTAAATCTCCCCTGAGCCCCCCCGGGGCTTCCTGCCACTGCAGCCTGGGGCGGCGGCTCGGCACCAGGCTGCCCGCTTTGTCCTTACCACATCGGTGTAGGCGTCAGTCATGTGGATCCACTGGCCTCCAGGCAGCCGGACCTGGTTCTCGAACACCTCCTCCACGAAGCTCAGGTGCCCGGCGTCCACGTCGTACAGCAACCTGCACCCCGGGGAGATGCATGGCGTCAGGGGCTCCCCCTCCTGCCCTCCCAGCCCTGCACGGGCAGCAGCACGGCCTCGCATCTTTCCTCCTCTCGTGGCCGGCCACGACACCCCAGCACACGCTTTGCCTCCTGAGCCTCTTCCACCCCAGATGCACCAAGCAAAGCTCCCACGAGACCTCAGCAGCCCGGCTCAGGTGAAGCCCAAAATACAGGCTGTAAATCCAATGCAAGAAGATGGCAGAGCTGTGCTGAGCATCCACCATCCCCTCCCATCCCCTCATTCCCCCCCCTGGGATCCCACCTCCAAAGCTCCTCAGTGTGGGGCTTGCACAGGCACCCCGGTGAGCTGGGTGCCGGGGCCATCATGTCCGTGAGTGCCTGTGCAGCACCCACCGCCCCAGGGACATCACCCAGCGCAGAGATGATGCTTTTTGCATTAACGCTGCCGCCTACCAAGGACGGGGCAGGCAGACAAGGAACCCCCATGGCACCCCAGATCTCCAACCAGCTTTCTGGGTCACCTTGCCACCAGCTTAGCATCTGCTCAGGTTTTTGGGGTGCCCGCGACAGCCCGTCCAGTCTCTGCTCTTTGCAGAAAACCATCACTCACGTCTTCTCCGGGCAGATGAACCAGTCCCCGGCCCAGGTCCAGCCCGTGGAGGGGCGGAAGCTGTCCTTGGGCAGCTTGATCTTGCCGGTGACATCTGAGTATTTGGGGTAGGTCAGGCCGGTCGTGCCCCAGTTCCCCACCAGCGCCAGCTTGGTCTGGTTCTCATACTGGGGGGGAGCAAAAGCAGAGAGGTTTTTGCATTGGAGGCACAAAATCCCATGAATAATCCTTTTGAAATCCCATGAGTAATCCCTTCCTTCCTGGAGAGCCCCATCCGGAGGACAGACCCCCCCCCCCCAGCAGGGGGAAGGAGATGTGAAGCCACGATGCGGCTTTACGGCTCATTACCAACCTTCTCCCCAGCCTTTCAGGCTGGATGCTGGTGGAAACAGCTCGCTCTTCTCACGGTTGGTAGGGGTTGATGCGACCCCCACCTGGCGGTGCCCTCACCCGCGGTCCAGCCCACCCCCTCCTCTCCACGGGGGCGCGGCTGCCCACGCCGGGGAGAAAAAAAACCCTCTATGGTGTTCCCTGCGAGATGCTCACGGTTTCGGCAAAGACGGAGAGCTTCCCCTCGGCGTACTGGTTAAACTCCTTCTCATCGACCGACAGCCCGAACCAGAGCTGGACCCGGATCTGGGCTGGGATCCTCGGACCCATCGCCTCCTCCTGGGGGTACTGCCAAAGGCAGAGCCCCATTAATATCCCCGAGGAGGACATTAATGGGGGATGCCCGGGATGCGAGGCTGGGGGTGGTGGGTACGAAGCCCCCATAGCCCCGGCCGGGAAGGCAGGGGGGTAGGTGGGACACAGAGCATCCCTGGGAACTGGGACAACATCAACAGCGTGCAGAGCACTTTGGGGATGACCTCGAGGAGCTTCAAAGCCCCGGTGGTCAGGGCTTCTGCGTCCCAGTGAGACACCCTTCAGGGCTAGGACACCAAACCCAGCCAACATACTTCAGCAAAAATAGAAAGAATAAACAGGGAGATGTCTCACTGCCCTTTTTTCTCTCTCTCAGTCACTTTTTTCCCCTTCAAGTGATGCTAGTTTTCCATCCAGAGCTAAAGTACAGAAAAAAACCAATATATTTTTGTTCATCTTTTGCTGCCAGCTGGGCTTGGGGTTTTGGGGTTTATTCAGTTTATTTTATTTCACTTTATTTTTTTAGAGCTTGTTCAGCACCGATTGTCTGCTCCCAAGCTGGCACGCAGTGAAAGGCCAAAGAAATATCATTTGAGATGTGAGAAGCTCAGTAAGTGCCTGGCAGAGGAGGCCGCAGCTTAAATTTCCTGGGGTGGCAGAGGGTCAGGAATTTTGAAAAACATAAAATAATATTAAAAAATTAAAAAATAAAATATATTTTTAAAAAAAGCACCATCTGGGCCAAAGTGCACCCAGCTTCACTGCCCTGGCACTTGCAGAAAATATGAAGATATTCACGGGGACCTGCTGCAGATCCATGCAAAGAGGAGCTGAACTCCACCAGAAGCACAACCAGGCTCTCACCGTGCAGGTACCAGCTTCAACAGGGTTGAAACTGGGGCTGAGGGTCCCCGGAACCCCGGGCGCTCGTGGGTTAACGCAGCCCATTGTGTTGGGATTTCAGGTTTCCCTTACAACTGTCTCTCTTTTTTTTTAGGGGAAAATGTTTTAAAAATGAATATCACGCACGGACATACATCAGAAGGCAAGGTACCTTCAGGAAGATGGTCTGCAGCTTCCCGCAGTTCTTGCCGCAGCAGCTGGAGATGCCCCTGGAGAAAAGGACCTCGTGGGCTGGCACGCGGGCGTACGCTACGCGCTTGTCTCCCTGCAGCATCCAGATGACTATATCGGGCAGGCTGTTTTGGGGCTGGAAAACACAAAAGCCGTAGTGTCCGACCAGGGGGCTCCGAACTAGCACATCAGCCACGGAGGGATGCGGGAGGCTGGAGAGCAGCCGTGCCCCGACTCCCGCTGCCAACCCAAGCCCATGGAGTGAGACCAGTCGACCCAAACCCCATCTCAGCAGCTCTGGATCCCATCTGGGTCTGGCCGGGGCAGAGCAGCCCCACATTTCTCCAAGCCCTGCCCTCCGCAGCCAGCCCAGGTCGCTTTGGTTGAGGGTTTACCGGCCGTGCTGTAAAGCTCTGCCATGAACAAGGCTAAACCTCAACGGCCGGCTGCCAAACCTGGCGCCTTCCTAACCCAGTTCGCATCGCTGCGGTGGGATGCGGGTGCAACCCTTGCATGGGGGGCCAGGACTCTGCCTGCGAGAGCAGCATCCTCTCTGCATCCTACCGCACCGCCGGGTGATGGCTCACAGCCGTCACACCAAAACAGCACTGCGACGGCGAGCTTGGGAAGAACGAGACACCCCCCCCCCCCCCCAAAAGAG